CCCCTGCTTGTGTTCCTGCTCTCGCTATCTCTCTCTCTGTCAAATAAATAAATAAAATCTTAAAAAAAAAAAAAAAAGACTTGGCCCAATGTCAGCTCCTCCAAGAAGCCTTTGCCCAGCTCCCCAAGTTGGTCATCACCCACCTCAGCTCCCAAAGCACTTTGTACTGCCCTCCAACCCACCATCTATCAATTACCGGTTTACGTAGCCATGTTTGCTGCTCAACTGGGAGGCTCCTCCTTCCAAGGAACTTGTCCATGTCACCTAAGTACCTACACAGAGCCTAGCCCAGAGCAGGTACTGCTCATGGGATGAAAACACCCCCTCCCAAAGCTCACGGTCAAAGTGGTTAAACCGAAAACACAGGGAGATATGAAAAGTAACAGGGAAACTTCGGTAACCATCCGCCGTAACAACTTAAGACCTGTCACAGGTTAGCGCGTAATTAAGTGCCAAAGAATTGAGCCAGCGGGAGTTATGGAAGGTGACGAGAAGGGCACAGACTGTGGCAATCAGAGAACATTTTCAATAAAATGAAGCAGAATCCAAGCTAAGCTTTGGAAAATGGGTGGGATTTTGCAGAGACTCAAAGAAGGGGGAGGGCTATGCAGATGGTTGGAACCAGAGCAGACAACGGGTGTCCTCCCCACTTCACTAGTCTGTCCCTGTCCCCTCATATTCTATCCCTTCGACACCCTGAACAAAGCTTGGTACGTAGTTGATGTACAATTGATATTTGCCCGATGAATGAAAAGTGTATGACCACACCCCAAGTTCTGGGAGCCTTTCTTGATTTTGTCCAGGATGAGGCTGACAGCCTAATGGGCTCCTGGTCTGTGGTCTGCTTTACTAGAGAGGAAATGGGTTGAAGGGAAAGGTGGGGAGGAGGGGAAGGAACTGATCCACCTTGGAAGGGTCAGTGTTTTGGACATCGTCTTTCTTCCAGGGCTGAAAGAACCCTAGGCAACATACTCAAGAGCAAAGGATGGAGGTGAGACTGTGTTTGGAGGGGTTGCTGGGGAAATGGTCATCCCAAATCCCTTTTCTTGCTTCTCTTTTTCTCTTTTTCCAGGAGATCAAGCTATGTCATCACCACCAAGATTTTTTGGGGAGGACAGTAAGTGGCTGCCACACTCTATTTGGGGAGAGCTACAGAGAACGTGTGAAGGTGCATGGGAGAGGTGTGGGTATGGCTGCCACCCCAGGTCTGCAGCCTGCCCCTGAGGACCCGTGCTATCCCAGTACCTCGTGGCGCCAGGCCAGCCCTGTTCCCCTGTCTTTGTCACACCTCATCTTTGACTTCCCTTTTCCTGCAGGGCAGAAACCGAGCGAGGCTTGAGCCGCAAACACATCATCGAGGGTGAGAGGGACTGGGAACAGCGGCTGGGTACAGAAGCCAGAAGAGTTGGGAACGTCCTCTGAACCTTTGAGTTGGAGGCTCTGCATAGGGGAGCCGGGAGTTCGGCGGCCATGGCAAGGGGGTAATGTCTGAATCCCGAGCAAAGGGAAGCTGAAGTACTTACCTTCCTCCCCCCACCCGTCCCCCAGGCTTGCAAGGATCCCTGGAGCGCCTCCAGTTGGGATACGTGGACATCGTCTTCGCCAATCGCTCAGACCCCAATAGTCCCATGGAGGGTAAAAGCAGCACTCCACCCCGGCCATCCTTCAAAATGGCAAATCCTCAAACTCTCAGCAGGAAGCTGGCCCCTGCTCGCGAGGCCTCCCAACCTCCACAGTGGAGGCTCAGATCCCAGGTCTTGGACGGGGAGGGAGGTGAAGGGCAGATACCAATCTCTCTGATTACACAGAGATGCCCGGGGTTCTTGGTGGGGCAGGCCGAGATCCACAGATCTGGAGCCCTGGATGTCCGGGGTCTGACAGGGAGGTTCTCTCTCTCTCCCGTGTGCCTAGAGATTGTGCGAGCCATGACCTATGTCATTAACCAGGGCCTGGCCCTCTACTGGGGGACATCCCGGTGGGGAGCTGCAGAAATCATGGTGAGTGTGCCACCCCCCTTCCTCCCGCTATCCCACGACCGGTCCCCCCTTTTCACATGGCCACCCCAAAACCCACTCTACTGGAGGAGGGGGAGTGGAAGAAAGTGGGAAGAGTGCTCTGACCCCCCACCCCCGTCTCTTCCCCGCCCCACCCAGGAGGCCTACTCCATGGCCAGACAGTTCAATCTGATTCCTCCAGTGTGTGAGCAAGCGGAGCACCATCTGTTTCAGAGAGAGAAGGGGGAGATGCAGCTGCCAGAGCTCTACCACAAGATTGGTTCGCAGCCCCCATCCCTACCTTTCCCTTGGCCAATCCGTCACCTAGATTCCTATCCCCACAACCAATCCTCTTGCCCTCAGGTGTTGGCTCAGTCACCTGGTCCCCTCTGGCCTGTGGCCTCATCACTAACAAGTATGATGGGCGAGTCCCAGATACCTGCAGGGCCACCATCAAGGTGAGATCTGGGGGCTCAGGATGGCAGCACTGGGCCATCTGGGCAGATCCGGGCGGTGCTGATTCACCTTGGCCTCCAGGGCTACCAGTGGCTCAAGGACAAAGTGCAGAGTGAGGGTGGCAGGAAGCAGCCACAAGCCAAAGTCATGGACCTTCTTCCCATGGCTCACCAGCTGGGCTGCACCGTGGCGCAGCTTGCTATTGGTGAGCCACCGCCAGCCCTGGACCCCGCAGGGGGCCCTCACCTCCTGCCCAGACACCCCCAAACCCAAGACTGGTTTGTCCCTAGGGAGGACCCTCTTCCTCAGAGACACTCCTCAAGTGTGGGCGCTGAACTGTGGGTGTTCCCCTCAGTTCTCTTTCTTCTCTCCTCTGGCCCCAGCGTGGTGTCTCCGCAGCGAGGGTGTCAGCTCGGTCTTGCTGGGGGTGTCAAGTGCAGCGCAGCTGCTGGAACACCTGGGAGCCCTGCAGGTGAGCTGGGGACTCAGAGGCAGAGCCCATCTCTGCCCCCTTCCCCAGCTGTCCCACCCGGAATGGGCTTGGGAGGTCAGCCACTACGGAGTCCTCTCACTCTGCAGAGGAGAGGTCCCGGGGCGACAAGGGGAGGCTCTTTTCCCGCCACCTGGCCCCGCTGCGCTGCTCCCCTCCCTGGCCCCCGAACCCCATGCCCTTCTTGGGTGAGCCAGCACGTACTGTCCCTTCCACCACCGCCTTCCCCGCCAGGTGCTGAGCCAGCTGACGCCACAGACGGTGATGGAGATAGACGGGCTTCTGGGGAACAAGCCGCCTTCCAAGAAATAGTCCGTCGGGGGCGCAGGGACCCACACCGGGCCGGCCGCCCCCGCCGAGAACCGCGGCCCCGCCGCCGTCTCCCTCCCGCCCCGGATCCCTCCACGCCGCGGCCGCAGCCGGGGAGGCCCCGCCCACTAACGAGTCCCGGCTTCGAGTAGCGATGCGCATGAACAAAGCCATATATCCTCCCGCAGTGGGGCTCGAGAGGGAAAGTAGTGCGCCGCCCCTCTCCGTGCGCTCCTCCGGGCCTTCGTGCTAATCCCGGGCATGAACCACCGGGCCGGCCCCTCTCTGCCCCTTGGTCTCTCTTCCCCTAATCGCCGAGGCCCAGAGGAAAGCAAAAAAACAGGGCAGATACAGGAAACATGCACGTTACCTCAAAGGTGGCCCTTGAGATGTCATCAAGGGGTAATAACCTAATAAGAAGGGAGTAGTGACGTCATCTGGGACAAAGGCACTGGGGCTTTTATTCGGTACAAAGGAAGCCAGGCTGGTCCTGGCAGGAAGTAAATGGTAGTCTTTGAGGACCCTGCCTCCCAGCAGAAGGTGGAGGGGCGCTCAAATAAAAAAGTGTCAATACTTTGTTCTTGCAAGGAAGGGGGTGGGGGGCGCGGAGAACGCAGTGACACAGCACTGACGCGGGTAAAGGGAAGTGTGCTGGCAAAGCGGTTGGGGCGGCCTTGGGGAAAAGCTGGGCTGTGCTTTGCAGGACACGGTGACAGCCTTTAGGTCGCGGTGGAGACCTGGGGCTGGGTTGAAAATGGTTGGGGATAGACTTTTGAGCCTGGAGCAGGATCTCCTACCTAGCAGTGGAGGGCTGCAGTCTTCCTCCTGGCAATAATCTTAAAGCAATAATGCCGGCCCCTCTTCTGTAAGACGTCTCCCAGGGAACTGTAAATAAAATCTCAGCTTGATCCTCACTCCCGGTGTCTGAAATTGCAGGGGTTGGGAGGGTAGGAGCTCAGTCTCAGATACCTGGCCCTGGGTCTAGCTCCCTGCCATTAGGAAGCTCCAGCGCTAGCTTTCTCTCCACTGACCAAGGCATCGTGCTGCTAGTCACTGCCAGTCACCAGCCTCACTGAGGACCCAGGTCCCCGGATACCCCAGTTCCCGGTTTTCTTCCTTCCTTCCGTCACCGCACCCCTCAGAGCCCAGAGATCTGGCTTCATAATTTTGTTATTCCACTTCATAATTTTGTTATTCCTCCTTCTGACACTCTTGCCTTTGTTTTGCTTCAAGTTACATTAGCCACACTTCTTGTTCCTGTACTTCTCATTTCCCTTTTCCTGATACCCACACGTAGACCAAAGCACTCTCTCGGTGGTTTTGTTGTGGCCGAGTGGGAGGGGCTGATGCGAGGTTGAGGCGTTGGGATTTGGGAAAGGAGAGGTAAGATGAAAACTGGCCTATGGTGGAGATGATGCGGGGGTTGGGGGGAGGGAAAGGAGTTATCATTAAGGAAAAATGGAAGCAGAAAAGCAGACTCAAATGTGATTATGTCGGATACGATCCCTAATCTTCCCCAAAGGACTCTGATTTCCCTGGGACACAAAGTGGGTGGAAAGTTACAACCTTTAAAGATCACAAGACAGGGGAGGATGAACTCTGCCTTCCTTAAAATACAACCTCCCCATCTCCTCACCCTTCCTCGATCCTGAAGCTGAGAGAGCAGCGTAAAACCAATTTCCAAAAAGAGAAAAGTCAGCAGCTGGCTAGCAACCAACCGGATCAACTAATGAATAGTTACATCCACTCCTAACATCTCCCACTCGTTTTGCTGTGGAGGAACTGTGGAGGAAACAAGGAGGTAAAATATATGACTAAACTATGGTTAGTTATTCTGTAACAAACATACAAGACTTCATAAATTCAAAATAGTATTCTCTTTAAATGGTTACTTTGGAGGACTCCTTTATTTTAATAGAAATGTCTCCCCCCTTGCTCAAAACATTAAAAAAAAAAAAAGTCCTCTTAGGAATTATCTTCTGAGGCTGTTTGTAAAGCCCTCGTAAGAAACCTTCCTTCATTGCCACACCTCATTCATTAACTTAACAAGTATTTATTTATCGAGTCCCACTATGGTACGGGGATACAGTTGTGAACAAAACCAGACTCAGAACAACCTCTGTGGAGTTTCCAGATGAGAAAGACAAACAAATAACCAGCAAACAAACATAAATTGCAGGTGTCCAAAGTCCAGAGACAAGGACGGGCTGCTACCAAGTCTACAGTGGTATCTGAAAGGTGAGGCTGCACTCAGCGGTGAAGGATCAGCAGGTGTTAATAAGGTGAAAGCAAGAGGGCTAGGGGGAGCGTGCAGAAGGGAACATGCAAGCCAAAGTTCTCCAAAGCTAGAGGGTCCAAAGAGAGCATGAAAGCAGAGTGGGAGACATGAGTTCAGAACATACAAGACCTTATCGGGCACTTTGGAATATTATCTTTATCCTAAGGGCAATAGGAAACCGTCCATATCTGTTGTTCAGTGATACATACACCCCCCCCTCAATTTAGTGGCTCGAAACAACTTTTTAAAATTTTATTTTTACCCCCATTATTCTGTGGTTTGGCTGGTTCCCCTGCTCTTCTCACCTGGGCTCACACATGTGGCTGGATTGAGCGGGCAGGTCAGCTGAGCGGGAGCATCAGTGGTCTCACTGCTACATTTGGCCATTGGCTGGGACTCCTCCGTTCTCCATGTAGCCTCATCTGCTGGTAAATTCCTTTACATAATAGACTCAGGGCAGGATCCCAAGGGATGAAGGCAGAAGCTGCAAGGCCTCTGACAGACCATGCCCCAGAACTCACACAACGTCACTTCTGCCACTTTCTATTAGTCACAGGAAGTCACAAGGTGAGCCCAGATTCCAGGAATAGGGAAACAGACCCCAATTTTTGATGGGAGAAGCAGCAAAGTCCTTTGGCATAGGAATTTGGGGCTACTAAACTATCACATTAAAAGACTTTATTTTATTTTATTTTTTTTAAAGATTTTATTTATTTGAGAGAGAGAATGAGAGAGAGCATGAGAGGGAAGAGGGTCAGAGGGAGAAGCAGACTCCCCGCTGAGCAGGGAGCCCGATGCGGGACTCGATCCCGGGACTCCAG